CCTATCTCAGGCAGTTAAGTCTCTGACCAATTTCTTTTTTCAAAAAAAAAAAAAAAAGAAGTGCTTTTCGTATACATGTACGTGTGTACATAGCAATATCATCCTGCGTTGTCCAGAATTTTCATTTCCCAACTTATGAGAAAAAGTCGTGAGATCGAGCTAAAAAGTCATATTTCATGGTATATCGAAGAGGATTCGTACGTTTAATCATTATTTTATTATTATTATTCTACTTTTTTCAAAATTATTGTAGACTAGTATTTGATGTCGCCATACATCGTAAGAATTTTGTCAAAATTTTATAAAATTACTTTTTTGTTGAAATACTTGACATTTATTAATATTATCAATGATCAATCGAATCAAAATATTGATTTCATAATTTTAAGAATCTGTCAAATATCTTTTTCGATTTAAAGAAATATTTATTCAAGAAGCAATATACAGATATAAATGTACGAAAAAAGGGAAAGGATCCTAATTTACGATTAGATTTGCAATTAGATCTCTAATCTAAACGAACCTTTCGTTTTTCTTTTTTTTTTTATCGTGTCATCGTGCACTCTTTGAAAACGCGGAACGACAAAAGTGTTTCTTTTCTTTCATTTCGTTCGATCTCTCATTGAAATTCCGGTGCGGGAGGATCGTACGCGAATCGAAAAATCATTTGGAACGTTCGACGACGTAGGATATCGTTTTCTAGGACGTTTTACAATAGCTATATATAGAATTCTACTGTATTTCTATATTTCCGAACACGGACACGGAATTCTCTTAAAAATTGTTTCGTGCATGGTGAAAATATTTCGCGCAATGGATGTAGAAATGGGTGCGAATCATGTGTTGCAAAGGGCGGGATTCGATGATTCGAGATGATATGGAAGGAGAATAAAAGAAAGAGTGTATTTTCGAGATAAAATTGTATTAAATTCGATGGATAAATTTGATATTCATGGTCTCTTAAGCTTCGATCTTTATTTTACTATTGTTATAAATCAGTTAAAATTCGAAACAACGAGTTGATTTTTGAAGAAAGAAATATTAGAAAGAGATAAATTTCATATAGTTTATTATATAGTTTTATTATAATTTATATTTTTTTTTCGTATTATTATAAATCAATTAAATATTTTAAAAATAAATATAATTGAATTTTAAAGAAAAAGCTTATATAGAAAAAATTGATTTAGAAGATTGTTTCAATACATGAATTATAAATTTAAAAAAATTTCTAATATGTTAAAAATGTTAGAAATAAATAATTTATTAATAAGAAATTAAAGATATCTCAAATAAATGATATCATATGTAAGTATTATCAATTCAATTTTATTGAAATATATTAATCGTATGAAATAAAACGATTAAAATTTAAAAATATTTCCAGGTTGGAATCTCATTTCTGGGATAGACTCGTTCGAGTCAGAAATAGAAGATTCGGGTTACGATTTATATTTTCTAATCTGCCACACTGCAACCTTACAACTATCTCGTTCATGTGAATTACAACGCACGATAGTATTTCACGTGGCGGCTCGCGTGACCGGAATTGAGGATTACGTGGGATTAAACGGTGTTCCAGGCACTCGATGATTGTTTGCATTGCGTCCCTCGCGAGATCCCAGCTTCCAGAATTGTTTATTTCTTCCTGTAATCGATTTCATCCATTCAGGTACTCCTCCCCCCATCGATTTTGGATTTTTCAAATCCTGTATGTAGGGTATGTAAATCCGGTATGTTTCGATAGGCTTAGTTGGATTTATCGTATACTGATAATTTGCACTATTTCAAAGAGAATAATAAAAAAGAAAGAGAACGATTGTGATTATGAAAATTCTGAAAATTAATATATTGGCAAGAAATCAAAAGTAACAAATTGAAATAATTTTTTTATTTTAAAATTAAATTATTTTTTTTCCTTACAAGTGATCCTTTAACTCCACCTGATATCTATTGCTTTACAAAATTTCAATTTTAAAGAATGTTTATCTTTGAGAGAAAATCGATTTGTCTTAAAGTTTCAATAGCTTTTAACGCTTTGAAAGCAATTTTCTTTCAGATCAAATGATAAATGATAGTGTATCCTATAATATAATTTCATATACTTAATTTTTGTTTCATCTCCATTGCAAAGTTATATTTATACAACTATATTTTCAATCACATCAACACATAATCACAATAATGCATCATTTTCAATGTATAGATATATTTTTAAAGGATATGTGAGTAAATCATAGTTGTGTATGAGAGGATGTTTCAATTCAAAGAGGCAGTTATTACTAATGATAATGATCCTTCTTTTTCTTTTCAGATTTTCCTTTTAATGATAAGTGCAATAAACTATAGCAACGTAAAGCGAATTACTGTTAGATGTGTGAGTTGGAAATTTAATTTAATAGTACTTTGAGATTGGAGGAAATTGCTTTTATAAAATGATATTTAGGAGAAAGGATATGACTTTTTTAAAGGACGGGTATGGAACTGTAATATATGAATGAAATTTGGAGAAATTAATCGTTGTATTATGCAGATAGGAAACAGAGATTAAAGATTATTAAATTATACTATGACATGTAAATGACTTTGGTTAAATGGATTTTTCTGGTTTAACGTGAGATTAATTGTTGTACGTGTTGTAAGTTATATAATTTTTAAGCAATTTTTCGAGGAAATTTATGCACGATAATAAATATATTAGATTTTATTCGATGCATGATATTCCTTCAATTTCCATTTTTACAAAAAAAAAAAAAAGAAATTATAGTACTTGATACGATGGTTGCATGCCACCAAATGTTTAATCGTTATTAACTGTCGATAAAGAATTTCTTATCCTTGCAACATAATAATTACCCAAGCTTAATTCAAATCTAATGTTAATCAACAAAGTAGCAATCGCGCATAGTGCTACTACTACTGTTACCTCGCAAACTCGAAGTTATGGTATCGTACGTATAAACCAATAATTACGATAAAATCCAATCTAGCATGCAATGCATCGTTCATTATTCTAATTACGGTGAGCAATATCTAACGTAGGTGTAAAATTTCACCTAAGTTTCAAAGCGTTGGATGATTTATGGTTACGAGAATTTTACTAAAATGCACTTTTAGAACGTTACTCGTCTCGTTAATAATTTTTTTGACACGGCATAAACGACCCTTATCTTAACTTCATAATGTACTATGACGAGATCCATCTTTGAAGAATGTCTAATCTGATCCTATAATTTAAAAATGCTATGAAAAGAAATTAGAATTATCGAAGTTAATTTTAACCATAAATCATTTTCAGTTTGCATTGTAATTTTCCAAGTAAAGTTTTTATTCATTTTACAATTCAACAGAAAAAAATTCTCATATATATCACATCCGTAAAACGAACATAAATTTTTTTCCAGAACCGTGCCATAACCTACGATTCAAAATTCCTGCCATACATTCGACTCAAGAGTTAATTGCATTAATAGTCCAATAAACGAATTAATCCTTTCTCCGCTACTCTTTACGACTCGATGCTTCTAAATTACAAGAATCTCAGGATTAAACCGTGCAACTTACACGGCACGGTTAATTAAACGACGCGTTTTATCGTCTGAATAGAGTCTCCCTGCCGCGTCTCGAACCAATCCTCCCATTCTTATGCAAAACTCGCGCGATCGATCCTATCGATCGATGTTAACGAAATACCGGTACGAAACCTCAAAAAAAAAAAAAAGGCTTGGTCTGTAATTCATAAGAGCCGAAACTTGGTCCGGCTAATTCAGAAATTGCCCTCCCCCGTATAATTATAAACCGAGTGTCCACCAGTGTATCAGGCTTTATTATCCTAATTTACGCGCTCCTTATTGCGCAATTAGGCGACGTGATACCGGGATGAATTTACGAGGGAGACGTGGAGGGAAAGGTTTCGAGATGATTGAATGATGGTAATTGATATAGAACGGTGAAGGATGGAGAATTTCGTTGGAATTTTTTATTATTTTTCCTTCTCTGTGATTTCTTTCCTCGTGATTATTACTATTTTTATTCCTTTTCGTCCTCTGCATTTTTGTGAGGAATAAGATCTCTTTATAAGATCCCTTTCAATAATCAAATATCTTTTTGATGTTTCACTTTTTTTAAGAATTAAATATTGTAAATCTCTAGATTTAAAAATTATCATAATCTTCGTGGTAAAATAAGTGTATACAAAATATTTTATATTGAAACTCTTAGTTATTCTATGTAGTTTATTTACATGTAGTCATTAGTTCGTGTTTAGAATTTTTTATAGTCTTTATACATAATTTTCAACGATTTCAGGTTCTTGGAAATGATCAAAACATCGTTTACCAGAACGATTTAACGACTTGCCGGAGGGTTAATGATATAACCATAATAAAGAACGATAATAAGCTTCGAATCCAAGCAGGAAGTTGCTCGGTGTATTAACTACTAAGCTTATCCTTTAAGCTTTAATTCCTGGTGCACTTCTCTCGGAGTTATTCGATAATTTTTAAAACATTATCCTACTCGCATCCCTCGAGTAAACCGATAAAATTCGAAATCCAATATATACAACAATTGAATCAATCTCTCCTCCATCGCGACAAGCCTCGAACCGGCTTTCCCTCGAATCCAACTGGTGCAAAGGGAACAAGAGAAAATTTGCAAGTATCGGTGCTCACCATCGAATATCCAGCGGCCTATCTCAAGGAGAATCGCTCATAAATATTTATCCGGGCGGTATTATCGCGAATACAGGCCTGTCCAAGCGTTCAAGTCTCCGGAAGTCGGGCATCGATCCGGCCTTGATGCACTCGTGGATCGGTTCATCCGGTCGGCTTAGCAGTGTGCTTGTTCAGTTTTCACGAGACTCAAAGCGAATCGGGACTTCGCGTTAATCCTCTCTCTTTCTCTCTCTCGCCTAGTCAACTCTGTATAATCTTAACTAACGAGAAAGCGGCGGGGTTGGAGTAACACACCGGCGAACCTGTGAAGCCCTGCTCTGTGAAGGGATCGCCGTCCACGTTTCCACGACTCCTTTTTACGAAGCCACGCGGAAGGATTAACGTCAGGGTGATTTTCAACGTGGTTGTTGCTCTAATGCTGGGACGAGACAGACGTGCGTTTCGTCGTACTTTTTTCTTGGTACATTTTTATGATTCTGGAGTCGAGGAAGATTGATTTTTAATTATTAATTAATAATTAATATTAATTTGGTCAAAGGTAATTTTAAATAATCTAATAATTAATCAATGATTTACTAATTCCTGTTGTTTTATTTTTAGATTTTATTTGGAAAGGGAATAGAAAATTTGGAAAGAATTTTTCTTTCATCGTGTGAATGATAAGTATTAATTATTATATTGATATATGGATATACACAAGGAATACACTTGGAATAAAACAACCATCATTTGTCTGAATTGAAGATCACATTTCTTTTCATAAATCTACGTAACATTCTTCAGGAATAAAATAAAAATGAAAGGAAATAATCTAAAAAACAAATTGATACAAGAATCAGCAATATGTAAATTCTTGGCGAAGAAATTAGTTCACCTCTATCTTTCGATTCCAAATCTCTCCTCGAATGCATTCGAAGTTCGATAATTCGAGTCACGAACCGCCTCGAATCCACCATCCCTAAAAATCCCTTCGAGAACCTCGATCTCCGCCCAGGAACCGCAATTTCTCAATCTCGATTGTCCAAAATCCCCGCTTGAAAGTAGCTACAAATTTTCATCG